GCCCGTCAACGCTCCGCACCTTGTCTTGTTGTCCCGTGTGCTGCAATTGTTGTTGTCGGTGGCCCTAGTAGCCCTGTGTGGCCCTAGTAGTAGCCCTGTGTGCAGAGTGGCACTTTTGTCTTTGGGTTTTGCTTTAGTCTGTGTGTTTGTCCCGGCTTTGGTGCCCCCGCGCCCCCGTGCAGCTTGTGTTTTCTCCACTCGCATACACCTTCTCCAATCAGTGACTCACTCCCGCTGTGTATGTGTGTGTGGCCGCGCCTGGCCCGATTTCGGATTGCCGCAGACTTATCACGTCAACTCGCACAGTCAAGAGTCCAAATACGCCTGCTCTGTGTGCAAGAAGGTGTTTTGCCAGCCCGCCTCGGTGCGCCGCCACATTCGCAACGTCCATGGCCCCTCTGCCTTGGCTAGCCACGACGCTCAGGCCCGCTCCCTCAAGCAAAAGAACAAGGCCAAGGCCAAGTCCGCCAACACCAGCCTCGACAACGGTGTCAACAACGTTACAGCCCTTCCCGTGGCCAAGTCTGAGCTGAAGCGCTCGGCTGCAAAAACGCACCCCGAGAAGCACGGCAAAGGCGATACCTCAGCCCCCCGCGCAAAGCGACGCCCGGCCACGCTCACGCTATCTACTGCTGCCCCCTCCTCCACCACCCGGCATCCCGTCGACGCCAACAACACTCAGGCCGAAGCCTTTCCCTCCTCCCCATCACACATGCACCACCACCACCCGGGCACCGCCCTCACCACCACAGCCATCGCCCAGACCCTCCCGGACCTTGGCAATGACTTGACCTTCGATCCCATCGACTCCCCTTACGCCGCCTCAGCCTCCCCGGGTAGTCTGGCCGGCACTGATCTCGACACGGCCGATGCCCACCAAAACTCGCTGCACGATGCCGTCACCATGTGGTCCGTGGATCTGAACAACATGGAACATCTGGCCCTACCCACGCCGTCAAACGCCCCCACCGTGACGCCCACCCTCGATTCCGTCGACGTCAACCCCCACCCGTCTCTCTGGAACAATCCGCACCTCTCCGTGGCCAACATCTCCCTCTTTTCCACCACCAACCCAAGCAGCAGCCTCGCCACGACCATGTTCGACCCTGAGCTCTGCCATGACCATCAGCTCGAAGCCAGTTTGCTTCATCAGACCGATGACGCCCCCGACCACACCCTGCCCTCGGCCATTCTCAATGACGTCGAATGGCTAGCCAGCTTGTTGTAAACAGCCCCAATCCCTTGTGCCATTTGCCAAGCCCGCGTTCCTATGACATGGAACGACTTTGACGAGCTCAGCGCGCCACCCATGGCCGCTCGTCTACCATCTCATTCCGTTTGACCCCCACCCTATCTGAAGGAAAGACGGGCTCCTCGTCCCTCCTCAACCACGATCCTGACCGACCAGACTGCTAAATTCCTTTTAATTTGCCCCCCTCCCTTACCTGCAGCTCGCAGCTGTCAGTGCTGACCGCTCCAAAAGCCCCATGACCCCTGCCTGCATACCCGACTCGTGACTGTGCGAAAATTTGATGTCTTGTCTGCTTTTGTGTGCTTTGTTCTCTCTGCTTCTTCTTCGTTTTTTTCTTTTTTGTTCTTTTGATCGGTTCCTGTTTGATCGTCTGCCCCTGTTTGATCGTCTGCCTATTGCGTTATAACCCATGCTGGGTGTGCGGATTGTGCGCCAGTGCCTGTGGCCCTTGACTCAGTCAAGCTCACCCTGACTCGCGTCTGCTTTTCATTTCATCATCTTTATTTTTTTTTTTTTTTCTTCTTTTCCTTTTTCTCTTCTGATTTTTTTTTTTCCATTATTGGCCTTTTGTTCTGACCCGTCGAACTGCGGGGCGTATTGAGCGTGCTCTGCCCCTCCATCGCGTGTCCTGTTGTCGCTCCTGTGTCGCTGCTTGCGATGCCGTTTAAGAGAATCTTTGCCAGGGCTTGTCAAGTGCGACAAGCAGCTTGAGCTTGCTGGCACCTGACGTTTGAGTGTGAGCCCTGCTCTCTTGTTCTTCTTTTCGTTTTTTTCTGTGTTACCCTAAAAAATCTGGCTTTTAGCCGCCCACCTTGTTCGCCGACCACATGCGGTACGCCCGCCTGCCACAATCTAATAAAAGCCTGACTCTTGCCTCGAGCTCGCACTTCCATCTCCTCTCTCTCTCTCTCTCTCTCTCTCTCTCTCTCTCTCTCTCTCTCTCTCTCTTCCAACTTTATAGCATGGCTTGTTAACATGTAAAGACATACAAAACATGGATAAGATTTTTAATCAATTGTGTTGCTCTGCCATCTCATGGGCCCGAAGTAAGGAAGGTCAAAGACAACAAAGAAAATACCTCACTACGGATTGTCCTAACACCAATGACGCACAGCTGCCTGTGCATCATTGGCACCCTGTTGTCTCACATACGGAGCCGCAAAACGCAGCCTCAGCGCTCTTGAATGAGAGGCGCAGGGAGGCTGGGGCGACCCCGGCTAGCTACCATCAGCATTCAAAACCACAACGACAACGGACAAGCAGGTTGCACACCTGCACATGGCACATAATGTCTCAAATATTGTTATCACTCTCAAAACGCAAACTATTCAAAAACAAAAAGAAAAGGATGAAGACAAGGGGAGTAGAGTCAAAGGAGAAAGGGGGTGGATGCTGCGTCAAACGGAAAGAGTGAGTGGAAAAAAAAAAAAAGGAGCAACAAAGGGAGCAGCACGAATGTGCATGCTCTCGGTGATGATTGGTCGGAAAAAAAGTCGCATGCTCAACATGTCGAACGGGCATGGTACAAGTTTGCATGTGCTCCCACACGCACAACAAAAAACCCGAGGTTGCTACCCACCCGACAAAAGGGCAGAATAGCAGGCAAAAAAAAGAAAAACACACACACACATCGAAAGAAGAAAGAAGAAAAAAGAAGGGAAGAAAAAACGGTCAACATGGTCAATCGCCCTGTGGGGATGCAACCGGACAGAAAACGCACAGAAAGAGCCTCGCCCTGATGCGCGCAGCGTACTCAGGGCTAGCGGCGAGGTGGCACCCCACATCGTGTGTAAACAAGTCTCAACTTGTTTGAATCAGCAAGCCCGAGGGCCTCAGAGATCATCTTCGTCGTTCGCCGCGGCACGAGACCATTGAGCACCAGACATGACATTGATGATGCCATTGAGAATGATGAAGGAGCCCACGACCTGACCAGTGCGAACAAGAAGTCCCTTGGGCCAAACAACAGCCAGTGTCATGGCCATCGCCCGGCGGGCAGCGGGGAAAGAGGCTGGGATCCAAGTCACCTTGGTCAGCTTGTCTTCGGAGAAGCGACGGAAGAGCTGGGCGTAGCTCATGGAAGGATTCATGAGCTTCATGGTGGAAAGGTTGTGGGGTACGTGAGAGAGATAGCCAGCCAAGACGCCGCCCATCATGCTGCCCAGGGCGTTGCGGATGGCCGATGAATAGTGTTGGGGTACAAAGGCTTCAAATTCCTCAGAGAGCTGGTTGAGGCCGAGACCAAAGATGACTTCACGCATGCCACGGGCGGCGATGCCTCGAGTCCAGCGGACGTGGAGGGGTTCGGGATTGAGGTTGGCGTTGCAAGCTTCAAGGATTGAGCTGACGGGGGTCATGACAATGCCCGGGGTGATGGCACAGCCGAGTTTGACCAGGTTGCTGGTGGACTCAGCGGGGCGAAAGTGTTCATCCACGGCCTTGCGAACGCCTTTAAAGCCGTTGATGTAGAGGACGCGGACGGGTAGTTGAACGTGCATTTGCGGGAAGTAAGCGCCCTTGACGCCGGTGAGGGCGTGGTTGATCTTGGCGTTCATGAAGGAGCGGTAGAAGGACTCGACCGAGGCGGCGCTGCTAATGGAGAGGACCGTGGGTGTGGGAATGAGTTCCTGAGCCACGGCTTGTGCGGTGCTGGACGAATCGTTGAGGGAGCCCTGCAGCGAGCCCTGCAGGGATTGGCGGACGTCCTGAAGGGTGGTGGAGCTCATGATGGAGGAGGCCTGTTCCAGCGAGGCAGACATGACGCCGGGGTGGGAGGCAAGAGGGGAAGGGGTGGGAGCAAGCGCGCACGGAGCTGCGCACGGAGCTGCAGAAGGCCCAGTGGAGTGGGCAGCCGAGACCACGATGACGTCGTTGCCACACAGGCAGCAACATGCAAAAGCGAAACGGTCGGGGTCAAGCTATTGAATCCACAGCGAAAAGACAGAGCCCCCTTGCAACGCGACGTGGCGGGGGGGATTGTGATTCCTGTGCAGCCAACAAAATAGGCCAGGAAATGAGAAGCGAACGCCCACGCACGCAGCGCAAAAGCCGTTCATGCACACACACACACACACACACACACATGACATGCAAGAGATAAAAAAAAAAAGGAAAACATAACAAAACAAAACTAAGTCCACGAGCCCATGATGGGAGCCATGATGACATCAGCAGGCGGGTCGAGACAGGGACAAGGAAAGGCAGCCACAACCCTGACCGAACCCAAGACAGCAACAACATACCTTGTGGTCAATTGGCAATCGAGGTTGTCTCAGGGGTCTTGACGGGAGGAAAAAATGCTCAGGGAATGGCGAGCCAAGGTTCAAGCCAGACCCCACCTTGATGATGGATGGTCTTGATGATGGTCAAAAGAGCTGGCAAGCATCGACACGAAGCGGCAATGAATCACTGCAATCAACCGTCACCGACGACCGCGCCAGCGTACGAGGTGGAGGAGGAGGAGGATGAGGAGAAGGAGAAGGAGGAGGAGGAGGAGAAGGAGGAAGATGAAGCAGCCGCTCGCACACACACACACACACGGGAGCGCCGTGCAGCGGACCCAGCGAAACGCGAAACGCTCAAGGGAAAGGAAGTTCAAGAGCACACAGCTGTCCCGTCAAAGCCAACGGCACACGCACACACACAGCACACACACACACGCGGGGCGTTCAAATGCAATGGCCCAGATCACAATCTCGCTCTTTCAGTAAATGCACGTCGCCCGTTTCTGGCGCTGCCGTTTGTGTGCCGAAAGAACAGAGAGAGAGAGAGAGAGAGAGAGAGAGAGAGCGAGAGGACAGAGAGAGACAGAGAGCGAGAGA